TGATATACACCTGAACATCAGCAGGAGAGGACTCTTTAAAGTAGAGACACTACATACTGATATACACCTGAACATCAGCAGGAGAGGACTCTTTAAAGTAGAGACACTACATACTGATATACACCTGAACATCAGCAGGAGAGGACTCTTTAAAGTAGAGACACTACATACTGATATACACCTGAACATCAGCAGGAGAGGACTCTTTAAAGTAGAGACACTACATACTGATATACACCTGAACATCAGCAGGAGAGGACTCTTTAAAGTAGAGACACTACATACTGATATACACCTGAACATCAGCAGGAGAGGACTCTTTAAAGTAGAGATACTACATACTGATATACACCTGAACATCAGCAGGAGAGGACTCTTTAAAGTAGAGATACTACATACTGATATACACCTGAACATCAGCAGGAGAGGACTCTTTAAAGTAGAGATACTACATACTGATATACACCTGAAATTGAACAGAATAGGGCCCCTTTAAAGTGAAAAATTATAACAAAATTACACAAGATCTGCAACTCAACGTCATTAATTATTATTGATTAAGAAAGTGAGGCACGTTGAACACATCATCCTCTGTGGTCCGTACCCAGCTCTGTGATGAGCGCTCTGGCTTTGGACACAAACGGTCCCACTTCACTCTGCTGCATCTTGGCCCTCTCCTTCAGATCTGCACCTGCACACAGAGATCAGAGAGAGGCATGAAGTGTGGACCATCACTATGTGCAAAAACCAGGAATAATTCATGTACTCTTCCAGTATCAGAGTCCACATGATAACAAAGGTATCCCAACTGTAGCTGTGTACATGACAGGATGTATGATTACCTAGAAGAGCATCAGGACTGTTTGAGGCATATGATAGCTATGTGATTAACATGATGATTCAGCCTCTATGGAGATAGACATATGACAAGCATGATCATTTCTGACGTGGAGCTAATCTGAACTAAACATTGAATACTGCTTTCTATTCCTCCATCTTGTGACTGTGTAACTCCCTCTCTTGTATATCAGCATGTGAAGGACACTGTTCAGGAACTAGTTGATGCTCTGTATGTGATGACTACTTCCATTCTGGAGAGGATCACAAATACATGGATCCTGAGATTGAAGCTCAAGCCGGTGAAGTGTGATATTTTTCTAACAACACAACTCTCTGTACTTGGTCCAAGGGTCAGAATAATATCCCCTAGATTACTTAGAGTCAGGTCATAAAGCCGTCTGATGCAATAAACAAAGAGTGTACCTGCACAGAAGATCCCAGGAACCAGACTGCAGATAATGACGCTGCGCACCTTGTTATTCTTCCTGATATCCTCCACAGCCTCAAGCATCTGGAAGACCAAAGCAACAGATACAGTCTCAAATGGTCTGAGTATTTAAACGTAAAACTCACTGTATTAACAAACAAAGGCACCGATAAACACACACACACACACACACACACACACACACACACACACACACACACACACCACACACACACACACACACACACACACACACAGCACACACACCACACACACACACACACGCACACACACCACACACACACACACACACACACACACACACACACACACACACACACACACACACACACACCACACACCCACACACACACACACAGCACACACACACACACACACACACACACACACACACACACACACACACACCACACACACACACACACACACACACACACACACACACACACACACACACAACACACACACACACACAGCACACACACACACACACACAACACACACACACACACACACACACACACACACACACACACACACACACACACACACACACACACACACACACACACCAGGTCAGGAACGCAGAACAAAAAACCTTTTACACACGTTTTAAAAGAAAAAGCCTCTTGGTTAAATATATATGTTACATTAGATAACAGTTAACAAGCAATACATACCATATTGACCAGATTCTTGCTTATGGCATTTTTTGCTTTTGGTCGATTTATCCCAACGACAACAATACCTGAAAGACAGATAGACATTACGCTGATTAGTAATTACACACAGAGGTCAATACAACATAATGAAGAGTAGCATGTCTTCAAAACAAAAAGGACCAAATCAAGGAATTCTCTTTTTTTGTACCAGCAGGATGTTTGCTTTTGAGTTCTTCATATAGTCGAATGCACTATATTGTAAGTCGCCTTGGATCGAAGCATCATAAAGGAAATATAATAGTATACCATACTGATATAAGAGCTGAAGATGTCAATAAAACACATTTTTAGACCATATCTGCTAATTTAAAGCTCACAGAGGCATCAATATGTTTCCCTAAATGTACACTTAGTTCCCATTGAGGGAAAGTGGTCTATTAATGGGACTATGTAGAGGCAGAGAAGTTTTAGAAAATATTTATATAACTTTTTGGTGTGAGTTATTTCCACCATAAAGCCCTCAAGCTAAAAAAAAAAATGTTGTCTTGTCCGGTTTGGCTTATTTATGTATTTTGTGTGTATGCACCTGAACCTCTCAGTTCATTGGAATATTTAAAAGACATTATTTGTCTGGGTCCTTCCTTCCTTCCTGTAGCTGTCCACCACGGCCCCTGGTAGACCCCCATCACACATACAACAACAAAGACTATGTGTTGTGCAATACTACTTATGTTTAATAATACTTATGTGAAATAGTATAAACCGCTTCATTCATATTACGTTATTGCTGGGCCCCAACTTAGTTCGACAATTCATCTTCTGTAATAAATCTGTAAATTGTAAATATTGTAACTCCTACTTTTATCTTATATTTCTATGCATGCTTCTTAATTAATATTAAGCTATGTTTGACTCTATACTTGCTGTAAAATATGTAAATGTCCACTCTGTGGGACGAATAAAGGTTTTCTGATTCTGATATTGTATGTGAATGTTTGGCTGCCTGTCACGTACAAAGATGACGTCATTGCGTACACTCTACTTTGCTGTCAGACACCGGAATGGCTCCTTCGTGGCTCATTCTGGCTCTAAAAACCGTTTCACCGTCGGTTACCGTTTGCTGTAACTCTTAACGGGTCTAAGCACCGACATTGGACCGGGCAGAGTGACTATGTGAGCGGACTTACCGGAGTCCTCTCCCTCCAGGTGCCTCACTAGGAGGTCCTCCTTCGGGTCCGAGCTGTAGTGTCGTGTCCCCGGGAGAGAAGAGAGCCACCCGGTACCGGAGCAGACATGTGTTCTGCAGCTGGAGGAGGCTCCTATCAGCCGGCACACACCTTGCAGCAGGGCTCGGTGTCCTGCTTGCACCGCCATGCTGAAGAAGAGCTGTAGTGTTGTGTTTGACTTTCAACTTTGACACAGTCACGTGGTGGCGCGTCACGTGACAGGGAGTCTGTAGCATGGTGAATACAAAACGGCTCTGGGTGATTAAAGGAAGTGGGAGAAATGCATTTCAAATGATAAGATTAGGTTAATCGCATGTATGTATTTTGTAAGGGATTTGAGTAATATATAAGAATACCTATGGTAAATATCTAGGCCACACACTTATGTTATATCTAATTACAAGTACAAGTATTGCATACGTGCAGAGGTGGACAAAGTATTCAGATTCTTTACTGGAGTACTAATACAGCACTGTGAAAATACTAAATGTCAAGTAGAAGTACTGCATGGAGAATGGTACTTAAGTTACAGTATTTAAATACTCTGAAGAAAATGTACTTTAAGTATTAGGAGTAAAGGTATTCATTGCTGAACATATATTTAAATATTTTAAAGCAAAAGCAGCACATGGTGAAATATATTTGAACAGAAAATCTTGATATCTTGAATGTTAATATAATTGTTTTATCTATACAAAATAATCTTATTTTAAAGTTTTGTGGGTCAATATCTGAATTAATAAAGTAACTAGTACAACATTTGCTTGCAAAATGGAGTGGAGTAGAAGTTTAAGAGAGCTATCAAGGTGTTTGACAGAAAGCCCTATTTATACCACCACTTTACCATCCTTGAAAAACACAATTTCTTGAGCTTTGACAATTTTAAGTCTTTTAAAAGTATGTGCTTTATTTATAAATGTTTACATGGAGACGGACCACTTGTGGACAAAATGTCCTCTCCGTTAAAGGCAGCTCATTCTGGAATAGCCTCCCAACTGAGATACGGGACTGTCCCACTCTCAATAGCTTCAAAGGTCAACTCAAAGAATGGATGAGAAACAAACAGACGTGCTATCACCGCTAAATGCACTTTAACACAGGGGTATCTCCTCTTGTACTTTAGGTATCTCTTGTATCTTCTCTTGTACTTTACATGTCGTTGCTGCTATATTGTATCACCATGTCATAAATACTCGTGTATGCTGCTCTTGCTCTTTTGCACTTTTTGCATATCATGTATTTAGTTTTTGCTATGTTTGTAAAATGTAATCTTCTTAAATGTTTTATGTGAGGGACTGCGGGTGAAAATGAGCTCAAAGCTAAATCTCGCACTGTTACGCTTGACACATTTTAATGTTTTAAGTGTTCATTACTGTGCATTGTCCCTGCCAAATAAACTATTAAATAAATAAAATAAAGTAGTATAAAGTACCTCAAATATGAACTTGAACACAGTACTTGTGTGAATATACTTAGTTACTTTCCACCACTGGCTCTGTGAAGTTTCTCATCTGTTCACAGACCACATTTATATGTATATTATTACAATAAACAATGTTTTAATTCACTCTACAATTATACATTCTGTTTTATCTCATTCTATTTACATATATAGTTTATTAAGTCCTTATCCCTGCATTGTACTTGCACCATAAGCCTCTTGCACTAATTAACTTCCGCATTTATTTGTTATGTCTTGAATATATTGTGTTTTGCACTGTTGGAGGAGCCATGATGTATTGGAATATTTCCTTGTGGTATTTTCTACCTACTTTTCCTTTTATAAGAACCGATCATCTAAAGAAATACACAGAAAAAAGAATACTCGATTCAGTGATTAGACATTTATTGTGAACAAAACTCACCGTTACAATAAACCTTGAGAAAAGTGTTCAGATTCGGAATGCACTTGAACAACAGAGAAGGTCAGGAGGTTTGTTTGTATCACCACCAAATAGCAAAAGGAAATTAAAAAATGCATTCAATCGAGCGGATAACACACTGAATCTCTGGACACTCTTTGATAAAACAGATGTCAATTGATTGAGGATACACTGTGCTTATTCAGTCATTCAGTTCTCAGCTCCGTCAGAATCACAAATCTCCAGCTAGTTTCAAACACAGTCTCAGTTTAAACCAGGTCAGGTTTACAAATCCACAAAAAAAACAAAGAAAAAAGCGTTTTGGCAAACGGTGAACCAGTGCAACAGAGCCTTTTAAAAATGCTTAGGTAAAAGCCCAGGTGTGTAACTTGTTATGCATATTCAAAAACTACAGCAGAGACAATGGAGTGCAACATATCCAAGATCTGATTGGTCAACCAGGAGGAGACAGAAAGGCTGCATTTAGGGTCCTGATTGTTAGAAAGCTCCATAAAAGAACGTTGAGTTTGGTACCAATTCTAGGGGAAATAGGGTGTCCTCTACTAAAGAAAAAGGCATTTAATTGGGTTGGTTTGTTTGAAAAATCCGTAGTTTTGCATGTTCAGGTGTTCGGGTGTTCATCTGCACTTAATTTGAATCATAGTCCATCTCTTTCCCCCTATAATGAGTATCAAATTACAACATTTCTTTTAGGGAACGTCTTGGAAATTGTGCAGATAATTACAAACCAATAGAAAAAAGCATGGCACGATATTCACTCAAAGCAGAGGTAAGTAGACCTGGCACCACACCAGAATACAGATGGATCCAGTAACCATAATACCTCATTTGAAACAGCTTTAAAGCAAAGCAGAGCGCTAACGGGGGCCTTCGACTTATACCTCCATTATAGTGAAGGGCAGACCCAGTTATAGAAGTCAATTAGCCTTTGGTAAATGATTCTGTAACTTCTCAAATAGTGGCAGGTAAACGTAATATCATATGTTTTGTTAGGCAGTCAATGCTTGGTTTCCTTTAGGCACATTACACTGACTAAAGAAGAGAGTCAGGTCATACCAATTCATCCCAACTTTAACATGACGTTTTTTAGATTCCTGATCAAGCCACTTGCTAAAACTCAACTGATTTATCCCAATTAAATCCTTCCAGCTACCTTGAGGTAATGAGTTAGCAGGAAGTGTTTCGTTTCATTGACACAGAGAGTGGTTGGTGCTTCCCGATCTGTACCTGAAACCTGATTTGTGGAAAAAACCTGAACAATTCTGAACAAAATGGTGGGAATTACGGCAGTTTTCTGGGATTTATATAAAATAATGCTGTCTTTGGTTTGACTTGTTCTGAAATTTAAGATTTTTCCTTATTATATTAATAATTTTTAAGTTGTTTTTGTAAAGAATGCCTAAAATACGGAGCTAGTTTCGTAATATATTATCAAAGAAAAGCTGTTAAAATGTTAGCATTGGTTTAATAAAGTAATTGGGAAGGTCATTCAACGATGAAAAATTACGTATACTTATTTGAACCTAAGATACTTTTTCATATCAAATTTAAGGGTTGTAAAATTCCCACTCTACATATTTTATTATTTGTATTTCTAAAGATATTATATATGTTTTTAAATGTAATTTATATATTCAATGTCTTGTCAGTTTTTATGTGTTCATTATTATTATTAGCATTTGTTATTTTGAAAGTGGTGTTTTGTACATATACAATATTCAACAAACATTTTTTTTATATGAACTTGAATGGGTTTTTTTTATGTTACAAATACAAAAATAGAACCTTATGATATCAGCACTAGATCAAAATTGCCGTAAAATGATATCAGTGACAAAAAGTACCTAAAATGCGTTCATGCACAGAACAAATCTTGTTTCCGGTACAGATCAGGTAGTGGCAGTGGTCTGGAAAAGGTGAATGAAAGCAGTATTTGTATGAATATAGAAGAGTAACTCGGGTGAACAGAATTTTTTGTACTGATGAAATGAATAACGCTGTGCTATTCTAGGCCTACATTATATTTGAATGTGACATTACAGTACAGGTAGCTCCTCCCCTCCTCAATGTGTTTTCAACCTTACATTGTGCTCCAACATTTGAAAATCACCACATATCCAAACCTTGTTTAACCACACAGTGCAACAGCAAGTACAGTGGGAAGTATAAAAGACACTACGGTCATGCAGAGGAACAGCCTTTCGATATCGACTCTGTGCTTCTGCTCGAGTCCATCAGAGACCCAGAGTGCTGTGCTTGGATCAGTCTTTTCAGAGCAGGCAGATAGGGGGGACCATGTCTCAGATACAAGTCCTCTGAGGGTGCATAGGAGCGGTCTTTAACCTCCGCGATGGGTTTGTTTTGCAGTGTGTCTGAGCTGCTTCTGTGCCACGGTTGCTGGTTCCAGTTCTGCATGTTGGTGACCTGGAGAGAAAGAGGGCAGGGGGACGACTGAGTGGAGAATCCTCCTTCTTCTGAGACTGCGACAGGGTACTCCGGGTTGATGGCCTCCACTTTAATCTGGATGCTTCTGGCTTTGATCCGCAGCTTGTGGGGCAAAGCTGAACAACTGGCATCCGGCACTTTGTGTGTGGAGACGATGACGCTTCGTGGGTCGGCTGCAGACGGCGTTAAACCTTTGGGGACCTGCTGCTCATCTTCACCGTCGGATGATTTGCTAACAGCGCCATCTTCTGAGCTCCTGGGGGAGTTGCTGGAGGATCGGGTGAGATGTAGGAAGGCGGCGGGCTGCGGATAGACTCCAGAAAGAGGGCTGGTGATGTAGTTTCTGTACAGTTCGTAGGGGCTTCTTCTCTCTTGTGCGTTCTCTGCTGGTTCTTTCTTGACCCCTTGAGTCTCGGGCATGTGAGGTGAATGCTTGATGACTGATATGCAGCTGCTGCGTGAGTGAAGAGGCTCCAAAACCCTGCTGGAAGAACTTTGGCTGGCGCTGGGTGGGACTACTTCCTGGTAGACGTTGATATTGCTGGAGCTGGATAAGTTCTGGACTTCTTGGGAATACGCTGCCAGACTCACCAGGCCGAACTTCACCTTCAGGGACAGCAGCTCGGCCTTCAGGGAGGTGTTTTCCTCTCCCAGGGCCATCAGCTTGTTCTCCAGCACCATGTCGTTGATGCGCCGCTTCTCCCTGGAGCGTTTGGCCGCTACGTTGTTTTTGCGGCGCCTCTCCCAGTACATGGTGTCCTTCTTCTCCTCTGGGATGAACTCTCTTTTCCTGCGACAGGAAGTTTTAGTTTTGAAGGGAATGCCAGAGATGTTGTGGCCCATCACGTCTCTGTTTGCCAGGACCAGAGCATCGTCTCCACTGTAGGCCTCGCTGTCCACCTCTTGCTTGATTGATTGCATATTTTAACTGTTGGCTAATGTGCTCATAGGTCTTCAACTGTACACCATAATGCTTGAATGCAGCATTAGTTACTGCCACGTTGGACGAATCCACTTCAGTTGAGGAAATCTGTGGAATGACAGAAAAGGAGAGAAGTTCTAGATGTCAAAAGTTTCATGTTCAAATAAACAATACTCTAAAGTAATGTATTTCCTTTAATACAATCAGATTAATTATAGATATATTTGTAATGTTATGAGTCGATGTTCATGTTTTGGATGATTTATTAGTATCAAATTTCATTTTTGCTTTGTAATTATGATTTATTGAGCTTAAGCTACAAATCATAGTGCCATTAGTTTAAAAAGGCAACATGTCCTGTTCTGCATACATCCAGAGAAGAAGGAACAAAGGGCTACAGTAATGATAACACGTGGCCTGGAGCGAGCTGGAACACACACATACACACGCACACGCACACGCACACACACACACACGCACACACACACACACGCACACGCACACACACACACACGCACACGCACACACACACACACACACACAGCCGTCTGTAACATGAGGCCTGCACAACACACACTCCTGCTAACACCCTCAAACATAACTAATGTTAAGTATGTCAGCTGCAGAAAGTGTTCGGCTTGTAGAAATAAGGTTAATAATAGACATGAAGCTCAGGGTGTGGAGACGTGTCCCATATATACTGACTTAGGCCTGGGTCAACATTTAGGAAGTCAATGATTAAGCCTGCTACCTTTTCTTAATCCGATTAAACAGGATCCCAAACAAGCCTACTTAGCCCAGCACAGGTGGGAATTAACGATGTACATTTACTCAAGTTCTGTACTTAAGTACAATTTTGAGGTACTTGTACTTTACTTGAGTATTTCCATTGTATGCTACTGTGTACTTCTACCCCACTACAGTTCAGAGGTAAATGGTGTACTTGTACTCCACTACATGTATTTAATACCTTTAGTTACTTAACAGATGTGGATGAATGATGTGAAATCTAATCAAGTGTTAAATCAGACTTTAGTTCCACCTGGAGTAAATCCACAAGCTACCCTGCAGTATACAAAGTCATTCAAACTAGCTGCACCTTTACCAGCTTTGAGAACACTTTAATGATCAATCATTATAAAACATATCATATATATTATTCTGAAATGGACCAATCTGCACAATGACTACTTTTACTGTCGCTACTTTAACTATATTTTGATGATAATACTTTTCTACTTTTACTTGAGGAACATTTTGAATGCAGGACTTTTACTGTAACAGAGTATTCCTACACTCTGGTACTTCTACTTTAACTCCAGTATAAAATCTTCTTCCACCTCTGCTCTTTTAATAGCCTTCAATTTGAACTGTGAAATTGTTGATGCCTGATCTTCCCATTTAAAAAAAAGAAGGAAACAGCCACTCTTTTCTTTGTCTATGTTCTCAGCGCAAACCATGTCCAGATGTTGAGATTGTGTGACTCTCCACTGTGGGTTATGCAGGAATCTTTTTCCTAACGAGCCAACATATGACATCAATACTATATTTGGAGCCCACGTGACAAAAATGGGTGGTAATATTACCGCAACGTGAGCTCGGTTTGGGCGGGGGGTGGCGGGGGTTCACCGTCGGTTCAGACCGGGTCCGGGTGCATGCAGCCTGCGGAGGGGATAAACCGGACCGTCATCCCGTCCTATTGTCCCTGTCATTGTGTCCGTGAAACACATGGATGTACTGGTGTAACACTGCCAGCACTTTCTCTGGCTGCAGACATTATGCAATGATGTGGCAATAACACAGGGTGTGTTCTCCCCTTTTAAGTTCAAATACAACAGGTGTGAGATATTATACATACTACTGCCTGCTACATACATCCCAACGAGAATATGTTATGTAATTGAATTGTTATTCACCACTGCAATCAACAAGCTAGCAGACAGTATTTACAATGTTACACTTATTTTATTCTATAAATACTGCTTACTAATAAATAATGCATACTTTTATTTTATTTCAAATATGCATTACTTGCACTATTATCGGTTGTATTGTTGTTGCACTGTTGGAGGAGCCTGTGACCTAAGATTTTCATTGTCATAACTACACTGTATGCAAATGACAATAAAAGGCTTGAATCTTGAATACCTATTTTTGTAATAGTGTGTTGCATGATTCGTCTGTCTATACTGCTGTAACAATGTGCATTTCCCCTGTGTGTAACGAATAAAGGACTGTGATATTGAAGGTGATCGCTGTGTAACATGCTGGTACAATGTAACCCATTCACTGTTGACATCCTGGCCGAGCTTCCTCATGACACAGCCGGCTGCAGAAGCTCTATCTACGCCCTGAAAAGTCCACCAACGTGAGGAGACTTTACAGTACAGCACAATGAATTAAAATAACTAACAGTGCCAAAACAACACGGCTTTGATAACGTCAGTGCCACATTTAGGAGGATTACAACACCATGTCGCAATCCAATAGGCCTACGTGCCACAATACTGATAATACATGTTGCATTTAAAGGCCATTATGCCTATTTTAATAGATAATACACATGCGAAAAATACAGTACAGTAATAACCGGGTTACTACACATTAGCTCGATTAACTTGAGCTTGGTTTGACGTGTAGTGTGAATATCAACGTGGCTATTTCTGAATTTAAAGTACGCAAGAAATTAAAAATTAAGCTAGTTTGAGCGTCGCTGTGATTCTCCACGTTTTACCCAACACGTAAACACAACACCATCCCGCAGAAAACTGGAAGTAAGAACGAGGTTGCGTTCACGTTCACCCTTTAAATAAAGACTTATTTTTTTTACCTTGGTTGGAGTCTGGTCAGTTGTCAGGAGCAGTGAAGTGTACGTTCTCCATCTGCTAAAATAAAATGTCGATGAAATCCTACAAGTTGTGAAGTACCTGGCTCTCCTCCCTGGGCTTTTCCCTCTCAAGGTGGCTACTGACTCACATGTATCTGTGTTAGTAGGTCAGTGGTTAAGTGCATTGGCAGCGTGAGATTGAGTGACAGCGACTGCAGCCAATCAGAATGCAGCATGTTCAGACATCAGCCAATGACTGTCGGCTTCAACAGAAGTCGCGACTAAAATGTCCGTCGTCATCTATAAAGTGGTGGGGCTATTAAGTGCGTCAGTTTATCACCTTTATATATACAGTCTATGTTTATCACACATTACAAGGTATTTCACGATTACGAAATATAATAGATATTTAATGGTTATACACTACTTACAGGTAATAAGCATCTTTCTACACAAGGTTGCAAAGTGCCTTAATTATGCAAATGTTTAATTTATTTACAGTTAATCTGTAGTTAGATACAGTAATCTAGTCAGATTGTTTATGAAGTCAGCCAAATATTGTCAGTGGTGGGAAGTAACTAAGTACTACTTTTCAAACTGTACTTAAGTACTACTTTTATGCTACTCTGTACTTCTACCCCACTAAAGTTCAGAGGTAAATGGTGTACTTTTACTCCACTACATGTATTTAATACCTTTAGTTTCTTTACATATTTGGATTAATGATGTGAAATATAATCAAGTGTTAAATCAGACTTTAGTTCCACCTGGAGTAAATTCACAAGCTACCCTGCAGTATACAAAGTCATTCAAACTAGCTGCACCTTTACCAGCTTTGAGAACACTTTAATGATCAATCATTATAAAACATATCATATATATTATTTTGAAATGGACCAATCTGCACAATGACTACTTTTACTGTTGCTACTTTAACTATATTTTGATGATAATACTTTTCTACTTTTACTTGAGTAACATTTTGAGGACTTTTACTGCAACAGAGTATTCCTACACTCTGTACTTCTACTTTTACACGTTTTGAAAAGTGATAAAGTGGGGAAACATTAAAACATATAAAAGGTGCAAATAGAAAAGCAGAACAGCCTTTTGTAATAAAATAAGAACATAATTACAAAGACAACTAAGCTCAATAGTAAACAGTTAAACAAATACAACGTTTTAAAAGTCTCAAAATGCAGAAATGATCTGATACAATATCACCAATTCAATATAAAATGCAACGTAACTTTTCAATATATATTTTTGGTGCATGTGTGCAAACTAGATGCAATGCTGCAGAAGTGACCATCCCACTGTTGCACATGAACAGTAAAGGTGTTGCATCACCTCACCTGCTCATACTGCATCTCACCTGTAGAGAGCGCTGTTGGACAGCTTGTGCACTTTTGAATCCTCCTGTACCTTCAGAGTTAAGATGGCTGCTGCATTCCTGAACCTCTGTTTTCTAGAGAAGTTCACATGCCTGTTTGAATTTCATCACCTCTTTTTCCAGCCATCCATTTTATTGTACTTAGTCACTTTATAGTCTCACGAGGCAATACAGTAGGTCAAGACATCATTACAAGAGCCCATGCAGGAGAAAAACCAGCGCTGCTAACCCTCTTAAAGATGAACCTAAACTTCTTTAAAACATAGGGGAAATGTAGGGGGAAAATCAACATCAAACTAATAAAGAGAAAACACTATAATCTATCATATCAAACTCATAAAATACCATTTATTTTATGGCTGAACCCTGTCAAATACAGACACTTTCCTGTGCATTTTGTACATTTCACCTGAATTCTACCTCATGTATGAAGTAAATTTGGCAAATTTAGCACCTCAACAAAATGTGTGTTTGAACAGCGCTGCATTACACAACATTAGACTACATGTGGTTATAATAATTGTCCAACCAGCAGGAGTTGTTACACTTCGGTTGGTCTATAATCTGAGGCTGTGAACTGTTAAGAAACTGAGCATCATGATCTGTTGGCCTCAGAAACTCTTCTGGATTTTCTCCACTTGTCATCGCAGAGCTTTGATATGGATTTACTGTTTTAAAAGTGTTCCTAAAATGTTCTAGCTTCCTGAGCAAATGGTGACATTGATCTAACTTGGATCCATTCTTTGTTTTTATGCAGTCTTAGAGGATGGTTTTTGGTAAATTCAATCTGCACGGTTCAGAGTTTTTAAGGGCTTTGTCTAACGTGGACAAAAAGAAAATGTCCCATCCTTCCTTTCCAGGGAAGAGTCCAGCTTGTCACCTCACACTCTTTAATAGTGAGGCAGTGGGAATGGCAGAAAGGTCAGGAAAGTTTCATTATGTCAGGCTCTGGAGTCTGCTTTCACACACTTGCAAATGATTGAAAAGACAAGAGGCGGGTTGCCCAGACTTAATGGCTTGTTTTTAACTTGTTGGTGAGTTCTTGCATTCTTGTGCTGTTGGTCATGTACCTGTGAACTTCCAAGACAAAGAGTAGATCTCCTGTAACACCATCCTGACTCACTATTTACTGTGCAGCCTCTCATATATCTGCACAAAGAACACTTTTACAAACCTTTTTTGCAAACCCAACATGACAAACGTGTGTTTTACAGGTTCTGTCTTGAGCATGCCACATTTGACCTTAAATAGCCACAGGAAGAGTTCATTCTTAACAGGCATTGAGAAGTTTAACCAAACTAAATTAACTCATGATCCAAATCTATCTTTTTACAGAGATTTCAATCACAATCCATGGTCTTCCTCAAAGGATTTCAGTTGGTTCTTCTATGGGACATAGACTGATTGGAAAGAAGCTTAACAAGTCACGTCACATCACATCAAAATCACATTAATTTAGTTGAAATAGGGCACAATAGGAAATATGAGAGGAGTCTTTTGGGTCATTTGACATCGTCTTGTCTCAAATTCATGTAGCTGAAAGATTGTAAGTCAGCTGATTGAGTTGGAGAAAGAGAACATAAACAGATACAAAAAAAAAGGCACAAATAAAGATTAAACTTTGACTTCTTCTCCTGACATCTGGTACGAGTACTTGACCAAAACCGTACTGCTTCAGTTTCAGATCATATTTATGTCAGTTTTTACAGTGACAAACATAAATCATATGCATCACATACTTAGCTGTTGTTAAGCAGAGTCACATGTATCTCAACAAACCAATTACGCATTTGTAAATCCCAACTAAAAACTACAGTCTGTGGTCTTTAAAGATCACCTATCATGCTATTTTTAGGCAATAGCATACGATTAGCAATAGCAATTATGTCCTGCTTCTTCACACACATGCTCTCCAGTACAGGTTAGCTCTGAGTGTTAGCGATGCTAATGTAAACACCGACCATATTACGTCCAAAACAGTCGGGCATTGTTTCTGATAGCAACGTTTCTGCCCTTTCACACCAGCGCTTTTCCAGCTCCTGCTGGGAGCTAGAGCCTGAAAAGCGCCGGTTTTTCCTGTTCACACCGCAGCGGCGGCGCGTCATAGCTCCGGAATGCGGTTCACTTCCAGCTCCAACAAATTGTCGGTCTAGGCAAGAGCTTTGGAGCTATGACGCGGCGTCGCTTACGTCTCTCCGTCGAGGCGGAGGCGGGGGCAGGGGCATGGGCGGGGTCAACCTCCTGAACAACAACAAAATGCCTGCGTTTTATCCAGTTTGTACACAACGATGGAAGACCTCAAAACACAGAATAAGCAGCAGTGGTCCACTGAAGAGACCAGCTACCTAATGGCAATCTGGTCTTCCGAAGAGGTACAAAGGAAGCTGGAGGGGAGCACGCGGGCCAAAGCCATTCTGCAGCAATTGAAGCGAGAGATGGCGTCCGCTGGTTATGACCGTAGCATTTTACAAATTAGCAACACATTAAAAAAACTGAAGAAGGATTATCGGGACCAAAAGAAAGAGCTCGGACGGAGTGGCAGCGGTCGTACGAAAACAAGTCCACATTTTGACTTGCTAAACTCGGTCCTCGGAGACAGACCGACGAGTGGTGTGGGATGCACCGTGAATTCGCTTTGTCTCTCGTCAATTGGGTTGGAGGACGAGTCATTTAATGCTGGTGAGTTATGCATTACTGATTTGTGTTATTTGTGCCTTTTTGTTTTACAACATAAACTAAACCATGTAGCTATAGACAGACCTGGCAATAATAGCTAAAGTGTACCTACTACAGCTACCGGGTGGGCACCCATGCGCTAGCATGCTAATGCTAACAATAATAAACAAAGGTATCTTCTTTCTTCTCACCAGTGGCGAGCCGTCAGGGCCCTCTGTGAGGGCCTAAGATATTCCAAAAAATAATATTTAAAAACATTAAAAATATATATATTTTTTTTAAATATATATTTTTTTAATATTATTTTTGTTATATTTTTCATTAGTTTTACCGAAAAGAAACTTGATTTAATAAAATAACATTTCCAAATAAATAAATCCTTCGAATCTGCCTGTTCAGTCTCTGTTTGAATGTCAGTTACTATAGGGGGCCTCTCTGCGATTCACAGAGGGCCCGCTATAGTAACTGAACGAGCGAGTAATGTCAAATGACACAACAATTGACCAATCATATCTTCCCTCTAAATGGGTGGGTTTTATTATCGCGGACTTTATGACGAGTTCCGCCCGCTGTGAAACTTTTCTTGTTTCCATAGCAACAACAACTTCCTGTCAACAGCGTGAACTCGCCTTCAAAATAAAAGCATGCCAAATTACACTTAAGACATACAACTGCAACGAAAGTAACAAACACAATGCAATATCATTTTCAATGTCAAAGAACACAAATTGGGTTCACAGGTGTTGTTTTGTGTGGTAGAGGGTCGCTGTCATTGATGCGTTTTGCACCCTGGGCCGTTGTTTTGATATTCCGCTGAAGTATACGCTGTGACGTAATAACTTTTTTTTTTCTTTTTTTCGAGGGAAGGGGTGGGGGTCAGAGGGCCTAGGTATAAAGCTCACGGCTCGCCACTGCTTCTCACTAACGATGTATGATTTGTTGAAGGGCTACTTTTGTTCATTGTGTTTATATTGTGTTTACAGGCATATCTCGTTTGGAGTGCAGTGAGTCGGAACCACCACCACCGTCGGCGTGTAGCTCGCCCGTGCACATGCTTGGGTCTCTTGCCACAACAAGCAGCTCTTCCCAGGAATCTCTGGTGAGCCTAACCCAGCCAGTGGGCCGTAACAAACAGGGTAAGGTTTACAGTGTTCATAATGGTAATACTGTTCCCTGTTGCCATTTATCATGGCATTGTCATTGTAGTAGTTGTTCAAGTTATGCAACTGCAGCCATAATAACAATAAAACATTTCATTACACAGTATATAATTTACACCTCATAGAATGCCATGAACACGGTGTTGACCTCATTATTATTTTTCCCTTTGTAGTTAAAAGGAAGCGGGATTCGTCATCTGGCCTTGTCCCGTTAATGGAGAGGAGTGAAGCCAGGGACGAAGAGCTACTGGAGCATAGACGGGCGATGCTTCAGGAGGTGCAGAACGGCAATGCTGAGTTCCTACGGATCTTCAACGTCACAGAGCAGAGCAGAATCGAGCAGGGCCGGATCGACGGACTCGCCAGAATCGCAAAGGCCGAGCGGGACAGCCACATGCTTGGCTTGTTAGACAGGATGGTGAAGGTGATGGAGGCCAACAGCAAACAATGACATTATTTTTGTATCTCCATTGTTCATGCCCCTTTTGTGTACATACTTTTTAAATACACTTAGTTATATAATATATACAGTATGTTCTCCACACTTTTTTGTGAATACTTGTATACATTCTTTTTTAAATACACTTAGTTATAGTATATACAGTATGTTCTCCACACTTTTTTGTGAATACTTGTATACATTCTTTTTTAAATACACTTAGTTATAGTATATACAGTATGTTCTCCACACTTTTTTGTGAATACTTTGTATACATTATTTTTTAAATACTCTTTATTATATAATATACAGTACAAATATTGTCCATACTTCTGATTCTTTGATTTGTATGTAAAATAAACATAAGTCAAAAGTCATGTCTTATTACATTTTATTTTTTCAGTGATCCACTGCAAACTAGCTAATGTCACTATGATAAAACACTGAACTAAAACAGTGGTAGATGACAAGTATGACTACTTGTATGCCAAGTCTGATTCTGCCATGCATTCTTTAAACAAAATGATGCTAAATGGAATAGTTACCTGTGTTATCTAAAATAAATGTGTCATTGTCAAGCTGGAGCAAGGCACACCATTTATTTTATTCCTATTTCTCTTTAGAAAGAAGTTAGGATATAAAATACTGACATAAATCTAAGTGAAGGAAATATACTCAAATGTACTGTTCCCTTACCCAGCACAAATGTAATGACATAAAGCTGAGGTTAGCACTAAATTGTTCATAACACATCCAAAGAGAGAGCGACCAATCCCTGATGAATGTTGAGCACAGCTGTATGCACAGCAGCTCAGGTGACTGCATACACTCACACACATTTTATTTTTATTTTGATACGCTTTGGGTATTGCAATTTCACACGTTTACAAAAGTAGCTTAATAAATGTAGCTCTCAGGTGAAGAAAGGTTGGAGACCCCTGGTCTAAACCTTTTGGGTATGCACTATTTTTATAAGAATATTGTTCATACATTCTTTGATTTGTATGTAAAATAAACAAGTCAAGTCTTATAACATTTTATTTTTCTCTTGGACATTTATGTGAATTTTCAGTGATGTACTTACTGTATGTGGGCCATAATAATGTGAGAAATTGTCGTTGTCTTTGACCTTAATGAGAAGTATTGATTTTTGATAAGCTTTGGGGATTGCAATTTCACATGTTTACAAAAGTAGCTTAATTCAACCTATGACTACTATGTCAATAAATGTAGCTCTCGGGTGAAGAAAGGTTGGAGACCCCTGGTCTAAACCTTTTGGGTATGCACTATTTTTATAAGAATATTGTTCATACCTGTTTATCCGTTTACATTCTGTGATTTGTATACAAAAGAAAACACAATTCAAGTCTGATCCAGTGATTTTATTGTAAGAGGCATGATACAAAATAGATCAGGTTTAACTGCAGTAATATTAGTGGTCCCCCATGTTGAAATACTCCATCAATGCAGAGTTAGCTCCTTCTTGTCTACCGTTCTCTGGAAAGGGGTGTAAAGGGGGTTGGTTGTACACAACTTCATGGCAATATTCAGTGAAGTTGTCGCTATGTTCCTCACATATGTTGTGTAGTACACAGCAAGTCACTGTCATTATTTTGGTGAGCTCCAGCTCAGTCGTTCCTTTTTAGGAGGCACCTCCATCTTCCTTTTAGCCTTCCAAAAGCCATCTCAACAACCGACCGTGCACTGCTCAGCCTGTAATTGTAGGTGTGCTGTTCAGGGGTCAGTCTCCCGGTGTCCGAAAATGGTTTCATCAGCCATCTATGCATTGGATAGGCTGGGTCACCAATCAGGTAATGTCCCACATCACAGCCAGAGATGGCTATTTTGTTTTGGCCTAGCAACACTCCATCACTGATAGCCACCCAAAGATTGGATTGTTTTAGCACTCTAGCATCATGTACACTACCTGGGTCACCAACACACGCATCCCAGAACATCCCCCTGCCATCAACAACAGCCTGTAGAACAACAGAATGCCATCCTTTTCTGTTATAATAGTCCTTGGGATAATTTTCTGGTGCTAAAATAGGGATGTGGCTTCCATCTATTGCACCAACACACTGTGGTGCTCTCCAACGGTTGTTGAAAAAAGTGGCCATTTCCACCAACTTCTCCACATTAGGGAATTTGATATGGAGTGGAAGCAGAACTTCCATGGTTGCCCTGCAGAAATCCTGAACACAGACGCAAACGGTGCTTAGGCCTACCCCGAAAAGATGGCTGATGGTCCTGTATTCTCCGCCGGTGGCCAGCTTCCAGAGGGCAATTGCAACCCGTTTTTTAGTGGTTATACACCGACGGTAATTTGTGTTTCTTCTCCCCAAAACGCCGCCGAGCTGGTTGCAGATGTACTCAAAGGACTCCCTGGACACTCGGAAATTCTGCACGAATTGCTGAGGGGAGAAGTTGGAAGCAATGGTGTTCCACCAATCGGAAGATCTGGGCTGTGTCCAAATAACACGCGACCTCCGCCATTTCAACATGATCTGTGGAAATAACATTGAGAATCCGTTTTAATGTTATACCATAGTAATTAATGCTGCAAAGCTGGGTATTTTGAGCTTGGCGCATGCAGAGGCTAACAACAGCTAGCTCTAACGCCATCGAATAGGACGTATATTTACCTCCCGTTTCCTACGGAATCGTTGTTGAAGTAGATCCTGAAGACCACAAAGAAGTCTTGTATTTCGCATGTGATGTTTGTAAAGTTCCAAGTAAAGTCGTCCCTTGAAAAGTCGTCCGATGCCTTCCATTTCGTCTCGTAAGAGGATAACCACAGCGAACAGCGCTTCAATACAATCGGCCATTGTTGTTGTGATTTCCGCGCGGTTTGGGTTTTAGGAAGCAGGCACGTAAACGGTTACGTCATGACGCAAACGATGAGGCAATGACGCAGTACCATCCCGGCTCTTGAGCGGTGTGAACAGAGCGGGAGCTGAAAAGGGAAACGGGAGCTGAACCAGAAAAGCTCTCGCGAGGAGCTAGAAAGTGAAAAGCGCCGGTGTGAAAACCGCATGATAGGGTCGTGGGTCTGCATTGCCCATATGACGTCATATCGGACGCCAATCTGGATCAGCTCCGTTGTTCCCCTGTTTTTAGAGATTTGGGTAAGGAGGAAAAGAGAGGGTTTTATTTTCTGACGCTGCGTGAGTTCCCTGACACACCGGGGACACATATTTATGTATAAAAGACATCAAAAAGTGCATTTTGCATGATAGGTCCCCTTTAATGTTTTTTTATTAGTTTTAGCAATACAAGTGTTTCTTCACTACAAAGTATATCTGTTGGCTTAATGTACCTTCACTGGACATTGTGACAAAGGATAATTTAGTGACATTACTTCCTGGAAAATACACAGTTTGATGTATGAGACTTTATTGGATACCCCGTTCATGGATGTACACATTATATGGTAAGCAAAGAACTACTTAAACAAAGCAAACATGTGGTGAAAAGGACGATGTACGAACACCAGGCATAGTAGAACAATTATAAACAAATAAAATGTCCAAAACCAAAGTACATAAATTACAAATCTGTACAATTTGTTTGGTTATCAAAGTTGATGTTAAAAGAATCAACCCTGTGGGAAAGGAGTCATGAGGGAACTTTGAAAAAAAAAAGATTCTTGTTTCTTATTCGTTGTTTTGTTTGATGGAGGTCAATTCCTTAATACATCCCAGTGAGTATAACTATGACCAAGGTTACCCAAAGATAGTTTTCTCCACTAGCATGTCTATTAATTATACATTCAGTTGACTATGATCCCAAATACCATAGAATAATAACCTAAAAAAACAAAAAAAATTGTCCTTTAGTCACCACTACATCACCTCTGGTTTCCAGTAAACACAACTGGTATTGAAAGTGTGTGGGATTAATCATCTCACTTCCTGTTCCTTCTTGTAGGGATAGATGCTTGATAGAGGGGTGTGCTATCTGAGGTGGGAGGGGGGTGTAGCATTAGTTTGCCCTTACAGCCTCTCAGTGAATGGCCTTTCTGGCGAGTGAAACACGCGGCAACATGTGCATCAGATAAGGCAAAAATCAAGGCGCCCATGAAGTAGTTGTGAGTAAGAAAATGTTCTGTGTTGCACAGCAACGGCAAGTACATAAATTCCTCTGAATATCAACAATATAGAAAAAGATTGTATGATTTTGCTTCGTTGTTGACACGTTAGTTTGACGGGTGCAAACCTGACACACACAAATGCATCAGTACTGTCAAAGAAATGTATAAAAAACATTCAGTCACTGCCAAACTGCTCACTTCACTTCATGCTGCTTATTGAATATTTGGCAAGCAGAGCTCACAGGATATTTCCGCTCTTCTCTTCTTCAGAGAGCTCCACACTTATGTGTCTGACAAGTGTATCACCAGTTCATCAGTCTGTGTGGGGTCATTGTCGCCCAGCAGCTCGGTTTCAGGCACTAACGAGTCCTTGTTTTGGTCTAACTCTTCCTGGGGCGCCATGTTGGCCAAGTCCTCGTCGTTGGTCTTGGAGTCGTCGTTCAGCAGAGCCGCTCTCTCTGTGACGGAGGTGTTGGAGGGGGCGGTGGTGACATATCCTGTGGACGTGGATCCACTGCCACTGTGGTGAGACCCAGGTTTGCTCACCATCTGTGGCTGGTGGTGCATCTGCTGGTGGGGAATGGGCATTGGCATCTGCATGGGGTAAAAGTTCTGCATGTATGGGTAAGCTGGCATGGGGTGATATCCATTGACAGGGATGTAGAGCTGCTGGGGAACCATTGGCCGATGCATTGGACCCTTCATGGGCATGAAATGTGGCTGGTGGAAAGGCATGCTCTTCTTAGGGCTGGTGTAGCGTGATGCGTTCGCTGTGCTCATGCTGATGTTGCTCACAGGGCTGGTGCTCAGAGAGCTGGTCTGCGTTGTGTTGCTGGTGCCAGAAGTCTGAGCAGAGCTGTTATAGTTGGAGAGGTTTTCCCAGGAGCGCAGACGTGTGTGGATGTCCTTGAAGCGAGGCCTTCTCGCTGGGAATTCACTCCAACACTCCAGCATCAGGGTGTAGATCCAGGACGGGCAGTCATCCGGACAGGGCAGGAGCTGGTGGCTGCGCACCATCTCGATCACATCCTGGTTGGAGTAGCCACAGTGCGGCTGCAGACCATAACTGAACGTCTCCCACAGCAGGACACCGTAAGACCAGATGTCCGAGTCGGTGGACAACTTTCCGTACATAATAGCTTCTGGGGCCATCCAACGAATGGGGAAGGGGTTTGTCCCCATGAGGTTGTAGTAATCAGCAGAGTAGACGTCTCTGATTAGACCCAGATCCAGGATCTTGACGCTCAGTTTGTCAAAGACCAGAATGTTTCTTGCAGCCAGGTCTTTATGGACTATCTGCTGGCTGGAAAGGTACTCCATTCCTGCAGCAACCTGGGTGATGATGTGAAGGAAGTCTGCCTGCTCCAGCGTGGACTTCACTGTCCTGTCGTCGTCTGAACTGCCGACGTCTGAGTTGGGGGAGCGAACCACCAGATACTCATGCAGGTCTCCAAGCCCTGAATATGTGAACACCATGTTCATCGGCTGCTCTTTGGTGACAACGCCCAGCAAACAGACCACATTCTGGTGCTGTATGTGGAAGCGGATCATGGCTTCGTGGCGAAACTCCTCACAGAGAGTGGCATCCACCTTGTCCTTCAGCGTTTTGACGGCCACCACCTGGGTCTGCTCTCCAGGGACGGTGCCATACATGTGACCTTTGTAAACCTTCCCGAACCGATCCTCGCCCAACTCCTCCGTGAAGCGCACTGCCGACATGTTGATCTCCCGCAGCTTGGCCTGAAACCACAGAGCAATAAAGAAACAAAATGTCATCAAAGTGTACGGCAAACAATAAAATCTAATGTTCAACAGTTTGATAGTCAGGTGTAGAGAAGTCACTTTTTATCATTACAGACCAGTGCTTCTTAAAGATCTCCAATCATGCTATTTTTAGGCATATATTATAGGTCTCAGATATATACAAATGCATGAAAAACATGTCTCTGAAGTGTTTTGCTCAAAATACCAAACAATTCCCTGTGTTATACACATACTCTCTCCAGTACAGGTTAGCTCTGAGTGTTAGCGATGCTAATGTAAACAAAGACCATATTACTTCCAAAACAGTCGGGCATTGTTTCTGATAGCAACGTTTCTGATAGTGCCGTGGGTCCACATTTCCAATATTACGTCATATCGGAAGCAAATCTGGATCAGCTCCGTTGTAGCCCCGTTTTTAGAGATGTGGGTACGGAGGAAAAGAGAGGGGGTTGTATTTTCTGACACTTTGTGAGTTCCCTGACACACCAGGGACACATATTTATGTATAAAAGACATCAAAAAGTGCATTTTGCATGATAGGAGACCTTTAAGGTAATATAAAAATGACGTTATCAGACATCCAAACATTGCACAGTGCTCACGTCAGAACTGAGAACATCCGTACATCAGAAAGAATAAATGAGGTTCCCCCCATGATCATCTGCTGTGTGCTACCTGGTGTTTCTGCTGAGCGAGCTGGGAAAGCTCCATGTCGGGACTCGGTGATCCGCTCAGCTGGCCGCGGAGGAGAGTGTCCGTTGATTCCTTTTGTTTATTGCGACACAAACAAACCAGAAAGAAGAGGCAAGCGATGACCAATGGGATGGCGATGGCAGGGATGAGAATAAACAAGATCTCCTTCCTGGGGCTCTCCGGAGAATCTGCAGAAAGTAAGACGAAAGAGGGATCTCTGATTTGTGATTGTTGGAGATATATATTGATTTATGTTATGCAATGGTCACATGTATTTTCTTGCTGATTTTGTTCATATTAAATGTATCAATGTTTATTATAAGTAATTGTTCATGCTTTTATTTTTAATGTAGTTTTGGGCACCTGGTGTTACTATAGGTAAGGCTGCAGGACAAGAAAAGGGAAATCGTTCAATGTTCTTTATACACTATGTTGGATTGTTGGATCATGGAAATAATTGAACAGAAAGAATATTCTTGCCTGAACTTGGATTATTTCCCCTGCGTAAGATTGGTGCCTCAGCGGCAGTTTTGTTTTTAGTTCATCTTCTGTTTTATTTCTTTATGATTTCCGCTACTACAGTGATGCTTGTATGATAGACACTTGGTGTGCCTGTACCTGAGGGACATCTACAGTCTACTCTCATTGGTCAGAAATGTTTACGGTCAGTTGCTGCTATGACTGTTAGGTAAAAGTAACTCAGGTGCTCATTTAGACATGAGACTGACTGAATACATGTAAATAAGAGCTTAATCTCTGAAACTTGGCTTTCTATCCCATTGCAAAAATACACTGAATTGTTGCCATATGGCACTTAAATGAGAGAGGCACACATGTGGCCTACTGAACAAAAACTAGTTGGTATGTCAAACACTGAACCAATCAAGATCATTTTCACTGTTTTTGTCCTTTAATAGGACAGTATTCTTCATCAAAATGTTCCTTAATTTAAAACAACCTGATAATGTTAACCACTCAAGTAACTATTAGTATATTATACATGTTTTTTCTTATTTTGATTGCATTATCTGTGTGAAACACCTGAATTTCCCTATGGAGATCAATATTAATTATTTGATGCATCGCAGTACTTACTGCAGGGCTCGATGTCGCACAGGTCCACCCTGACCTGGGGGTCCAGGGTGAAGCACCACGGCGCCTGCATGCTCCCCCCTGGGTTACGGCAGAAGTTGTGACTCCCCCAGAGTTCAGGGTGCTCCTGGGAGAGGTGGTGGCTGTGAGGGTACTGAGCGCTCCACGGCTGGCAGTGATGACCCGACTTCGTGACGCTGACCGTGCCTCTGTACTCGTCTCCACTGCCGTTATAGCAGCTGTGGTCTGTGGGGTTATCTGGGGAGCGGACAGGGAGTATTAAGAGTATTGTAGGAGCCAAAATGCTGTGTTTATAGTTATATTATTATTATATTATAGGGCGGCTGTGGCTAAGTGGATAGAGTGCTGGACTTTGATTCAGGGGGTAGCAAGTTTGAGTCCCACTGCAGTCAGCATGTCGTTGTGTCCCTGGGCAAGACACTTCACCCCAAATTGCTCCTGTGGGGATTGTCCACAGTACTGAATGTATGTAAGTCGCTTTGGATAAAAGCAAATGACATGTAATGTAATGTATTATCTTCATTATTTGTTAACACCATACACACTTGTAATTGGTTGTTTCCGGTCGCATTTTATCTATTCTACAGTACTGCATACTAGCATGTTTTCTCTCAGTGATTGTGCTGGTATGTTAAATGTTTGTTGATTGTTTTTCATGTATTGTGTCTTGATATGTGTCAAATTTCAGACTTGATCATTAAAGTATTATCGCATCGTATTGTTAGAGCCATTTTCCTTTCATCATTATGGTTTGAATGTTTGTCTTATTAATATAAGGATTTATAGTAAACTCTTAATTATTTATTTTTGTGAGTAACACTACGGTTTAAAACATGTTAGTTTAAGTCTCACTTATTTGCTGTCAAATTGTGCGCTGTCGGGTATGACGTGCATGTCTATATATGGCATGACAATGGTACACAGCTGAGGGTGTGATTAGACGGGCAGCGGTATAATCTTTTGACCGTGTTCTTTTTGTTCTTTTTTGATAAGGAGAACTTTTAGTTAGTTAGAAGCGAGGAAGTTTGTCTTCATGTTTGTATGCCGCCTGGATCAAAGAATAAATCTGATGTGATCCAACGCTACAACGATTTCCGCAAAGTTTGTTTGGAAGCAAAGAGAAGCGCGTCACAACCCACAACCCCGATAGAGGAAAGTGGATATTAAATGTAGAAACGGATTAAAACGCCACGACACGTATCGTACATCTGTATGTGTAATTTGTGTGCATGCTGCAGTATCAACCTACATGGACCCAGTTTGTCCTGCGGCACTCCTATCCTCATACAGGAGGCGGCCTCCGAGGTGCCGGCTCGAGGCAGCAGGGGGCAGTTGGGCAGCTCCATCTGCATCAGGATCATGGGGTTGGAGCGGGCGATGGTGTACTCCGTGTAGCACAGGTCGTTCTCCAGGGCCTCGCACTCATCCCTGCAGAGTTGCCGCCTGCGAGGGGTCCGGGACCCCTCGTCACACAGCGGGAACACGTAGTAACAGAAGGACGGGATGGCAAACATGGAGCACTGATCCGATAGGTGCGTGGAGGTGCCAATCATAGTGAAGGCAGCTAGGGAAAAGGAAAATCTTTTTTATTACATTTGTATTGATAATTGTGGGGGGGGGGGGGGGGGGGGTTACCTTGGTTGGTGATTGGCTAATGGTTACACAAGCCAATGTCGTTATGACATCATAAAGTGGCCAAAATCTGATCAGCTCATTTTCAGACAGGTTTTTATATAAATGGATCAGGACAAAAAGAGAGAGAATCTTTTTTCCTGGAACTTTCAGAGTCTCTTTGCACAGAGGGGACACATGTTGATGTAGAAGAGACATGGAGAAGAGGGGACACATGTTGATGTAGAAGAGACATGAAGAAGAGGGGACACATGTTGATGTAGAAGAGACATGAAAAAGTGGATTTTGCATAATAGGTGACCTTTAAATAAGAGTGGCCATTGGAATATGTCAGAGGCGCACATGTGGCGTACTGAACAAGAACTAGTTGGTAAGTCTAACACTGAACCAATCAAGAACATTTTCACTTTTTGGGAAATTAACCAGCCCCACTGGACCATGTGTATTGATAATTGTGCAATATGTGAACTAAAATGGCTGATTTCCTTACCTGTGATGCGGTTTTCACTCTCCCCCTGCATCTGAAGAGACTCCACATAGATGCTCTGGTTTCCAATGAAGCGAGCGCAGGCAATGCCTCGGTACGGCTGGCAGAAACCTTTGTCAGGAAGCCTGGAATTAAAATAAAGGTCTGATTTAGGCATAGTTCAAATATGAAGCATTGAAAGATAGCCAAAAAGATAAATAAACAACAGAAAAATAACTAGTTTTCCCAGGACGTAGCTACATAAATTGGTATTGGTGTATTTCTGCTGATGAGTAACAGGAAGTTGCATTTCAGAAAATTGAACAGTGTGTTTGAAGACATTGATGTCACTCTATAATAGTTTGCCAACCAAATGGACAGTTTTACAGTTCTTAGTAGAGTTATTAGTTCTTAGTATTAGTCATAGTTATCATGAGTACTCCTCAGTACTGTACTGTAAGCTCTAATATGTATTAAACGTGTCATAATATTTGCAATATTTCCCTGTCCTGTATATGTGCAGACTGCCCTTCAGTCCTTCTTTTGTGGAGCATTATGGGATGTGATAGAGGAGCAGCTAACACCCTATTAATATTTCTACTCAACTGTTTGAATAGGCCATGTCTGCAAATCGTCTACTCTCCTTCTCACACACACACACACACACACACACACACACACACACACACACACACACACACACACACACACACACACACACACACACACACACACACACACACACACACACACACACACACACACACACACACACACACACACACACACACACACACACACACACACACACACACACACACACACACACACACACACACACACACACACACACACACACACACACACACACACACACACACACACACACACACACACACACACACACACACACACACACACACACACACACACACACACACCACTTTCCATATCTCATTATGGTGACTTTAAAACAACTTGTAATGGAAAAGTCATTAACAAACAGACCTCTGTGATTCTTTCCATGAAGGGAAGCAGCTTTCCAGGAAGTGCTTAAAGTAGAGTTCTGTATTTACTCCTGGACACTTATTAAGGGACTCTGACTAGAAATGTTAAATGAGTGAAACACCAATAGATAAGAGTGTAAAAGTAGGTTTTTTTGGGAACACTAGTTAATCTTATTCAATCTCCACTAAGTTGCCAGTTTGCAAAACTACAGTGGTGGGGAGGGGGTTACAGATAAGGTTAGCCCGAAAAACTGTCAGCATTGAATGTTCAGTTGAATGTGAAGTTCAACAAGTGGCCGTTTAGGGGTGGCTCAAATAATAACTTTTCCAGCAGAAATGAACATGTTTAAAGCCTGGTGCAAACACAGTATTCTATCTATAGCTAGTTTTCCCTCAAGAAGTAGGTTAGCCAGCTAGCAACGCAGAGCAGTGTCTTAGTTAGCCCAGCTTGTTAGCTTGAGCTAGCTTGGGAGTCTTGAGTAATACAAGCGACAGTTCTCAATCTCATGAGCGTGTGTGGAAATATTGGGATACACAAGAGGAACGATGAGAAGGTCACAGAAACAAGTACCGTGGGACATTTCAAGGCAATATGAAAAGACAGAGTTTCTCCTGACCCCAATGGTTAATACTGTTAAGCTCCTGCTATCAGAAAAAAGACCATGACATATTATAGATATCATTACAAAACGATGTGATGGAAACAAGAGAAGTATAGCGACTGAACCTGAATAACAGTCCCAGTTTATTGATACTTGTCAGCTGAGGATATGAATCCACTAATTGTCTCAGGTAGACTAACAGTTGGTCCACAAATGGATCAATGTTGGCTCTTTCTGAAACACACAGTGGATGAATTGTAAGGTCTGATGGGGGCAGGTAGAAAATGACTTCCTGTCGCTCTCTGGCCAATTTGCAGAATCTGAGTCTCATCATAAACTCTTCCAGTGTCCATTTACAATAACGCTTTAGTGTGCAGCCACAACACGATCAAGATATTATTATAAAAGCTGTCAGACATGAAGGTAACGCTAGCATTGGATGTGGTAGTAAAACATAATGAAAAAAGATCCGGACTGGCCTTAAGCAGTTAACTACATTCAACTTTAAAATGCCAAAACAAGAGAAATAACTTAAAGCATGAATATGTGTGTATGTTGATTATAGGCACTGTAGATGGAGACCATACAGAGTTAATTGTCTGGATAAATAATGATAATAAACACCCAGGGCTATGAACTGCTCCTTGGATAATAGGCAAGGCAAGGCAAGTTTATTTATATAGCACTTTTCTGTACGCGACAATTCAAATAAGCAACTAAAAAGTCATTACAAGTAGAGCTGTATTAATGACTACAATATGAGAAAACCCCCAAAAACATCCCAGCTTCGAGGGCATTACAGAGAGGAACGTTCAATTTCCTGAGGGTTTTGAGTGAGTACACGTTTGTTAGCTTCAATTTAGATGAGGTGATTGCGTATCTCAATATGGGATTTCATTCCTATAAATTGTATTGAAAGACAATGCCTGATCACATTGAATTATCGCCTTCCCAAAATCACGAGACCCTCTGGCCTCATGCCACATGTTGAGCTGCTGTGCAGGAAGTTGTCTTAGTTAAACCAGCTGATCTGAACTTGTTTTCACACTTGGCTCTTTGCTAAGGTCACGCTCATGTCATGTTTGTGCTTGGATTAGCCTCCCGGGCCGGATTTAAATCCTAATCCAGAACACCGACTGGGTCCAAAACTATTGCTGTGCTCACAGTTAGCTTTCTAAAAGGCAGAGGTGGGAAGTAGTGGAGTACAAATACTTCGTTACTGTACTTAAGTACATGTTTCTGGTATCAGTACTTTACTCCACTACTTGTTCTTCTGACGACTTTTTACTTTTCTTACATGTTGAACACAAATACCTGTACTTTCTACTTCTTACATTTTGAACACAAATACCTGTACTTTCTACTTCTTACATGTTGAACACAAATACCTGTACTTTCTACTTCTTACATGTTGAACACAAATACCTGTACTTTCTACTTCTTACATTTTGAACACAAATACCTGTACTTTCTACTTCTTACATTTTGAACACAAATACCTGTACTTTCTACTTCTTACATGTTGAACACAAATACCTGTACTTTCTACTTCTTACATTTTGAACCCAAATACCTGTACTTTCTAACCTTACTTCTTACATTTTGAACCCAAATACCTGTACTTTCTACTTCTTACATTTTGAACACAAATACCTGTACTTTCTACTTCTTACATTTTGAACCCAAATACCTGTACTTTCTACTTCTTACATTTTGAACACAAATACCTGTACTTTCTACTTCTTACATTTTCCAAACAGGCTGGTTCCTTTAGTTTGAATGTGTGTTTGGTGGCGTGATCATTATTATTTAGAGTCATTGCGTGCCTATTGATTTGAACACGATCCGTGTATCCATCATTTCCTGGTCTTCTCTAAAGAAGAGGGACCAATGAAAACGTTGTCATGTTGCCGTTGTTCAGCATGGAAACATTCATTAGCTAACAATGACATTATTGTTCTATTAATATAAAGGGAGGTCAGGTACTCTTTAAAACAGCTGCTAGTTATGGGTACTTTTTACTTAAGTACATTTCAAAGCCCTCTTTACTTTGACTTGAGTAAAGAAGTTTAGTCAGTACTTTTACCAGAGTATTTTTAAACACGAGTATCTGTACTTCTGCTTGAGTAAAGGATGTGTGTACTTTTGCCATCTCTGTCTAAAACTCAGAGCTGCTAATGGGAGAATGATATGCTGCTCTGTCCTGTTCTGTGAACACAACACGCTGTCTTTATAGCGTTTGATGACCTACAATCAGATTTACAGGTAATTGAATCGAGCTGCTAAGTATGGGAAGATTTCCTGACAATGACTCTGTTTGTTCTGATAATCCTATTCTTATTATTAGCAACACCTGAACTTGGACGCTGCTGACACAGAGTGAACCTTTGGGTGCTTTTGATTTTAACTCAGTGGCGTCATTTAAATCTTATTATTACACGTCTTAGTTGAATACTCGATTCTGATTGGTCAATTCAGAACATGTGACACGTTAATACAGTAGTACAGACCGCTGTCGAGGACTATAATGACCGTTGCTAAGGAGGATCAAGAAAGAGAAAGGAAAAGAGGTTAAAAGACGGAGCGCTGGACGTCAGATAAACCACCAGAAGAAATATGACAATTTTTTAGTCAATATCATAATTTCAATTAATATTGGGAGTCGAGTTTGTTTAGTATCTGGCCGTGTAATAAGCGGGATAATGTGCAGCGAGTTGGTCACATTATCCCTTACTTGCATACCACCATTTACTAATAAATGAAGGTGCCCATGTTGTATTCATTTTGAGTTTCAGGCCTAGAGAGGAGGTGGATTAGTGTTGCTGTTCCTGCTTCAATCCAGTCAGTCTGCACCCACTACTGTCACCATGCTGGTCAGATTTCAGCTCTGCCTTAAAACAACACAAGGGGCTGCATAGCTGTGTGCAGTTACATGAGCAACAGTCCCATACGTTTGACATTTCATCACCAAAACACTGCACAGAGGTTTATTCTCCATAGCAAAAGTCATATTCAGAGAAATGTGTAATATGATGTTTGGTCGCTGCAGCATCTTGCAGGATGATGTCATGTGCAACCAAACTTGAGTCTGCTTTAACACTGTGTTTTTGTTGATGGAGCTTCAATAATATAGTGATCCCAGTACAGGAAGTGACTCTTTAAAAGCTGTGCTGTGTCAACGTTTCACTTTACTGAAGTCAAACAGTCCGACTAAAGAATCAGTGGGGGAGTGATGGCTTTATGATAAATGGTAACTGGTCTTTGCAAGCCCTCAAGGCGCCTTTACGTAACACGTCTGCTTTTACACATTCACACACATTCATACGGAGGTAGAGGCTGCTACATGCTCACAGAAATGTACATTCACACACACATTCATACGGAGGTACATGCTCACAGAAACACACACACAGAAAACACACACACACACACAGAAACACACACACACACACACACACACACACACACACACACACACACACACACACACACACACACACACACACACACACACACACACACACACACACACACACA